CACACACGTGCTTCTTTTGGGTGTCGATATATAAGTCAGACTGACAATCCGGCGGGTAGAAATTCGTGCTGCCATACTAGAGGGTGACATCGACAAGGCTCTCAAGTACACAAATGCCTACTATGGCAACGTCCTAGAGAGCTATCCTCACATTCAGTTCAAGCTACGGTGCCGGAAATTTCTGGAGATGATGCGTCGCTGCAATGAGCTCTCCTTGACAGCGTCGAAAAAAGGCAAAGCATCCAACGGACTTTCCGATGGCAGTGCGGTGTTCGACCAGGAGATGGAACTTGATGAGCAATTACAGGAAGGTGACGGCTGGGAAACCGAGGGCATGGATACCGAAGAATCCGAGAACTCGGGGAAGTTTCACGAGCTTCTCACCGAAGCGGTTCAATACGGGCAGCAGTTACGCATGGATTATCCAAATGACGAGCGAGGCGGCGACAAGAAGGTGCTGGATGACATCTTCTCGTTGGTTGCCTATCAGGATCCGAAACGATCAGTGCACGGCCACTACCTTGATCCTGCGGGACGCGTTGCTATTGCGGAAGAACTTAATTCTGCCATTCTAGGTCAGTTGTGCTTTTTCGTGTGCTTCAGTGCAGTCGATTGCTAACGCCGATTCTCTTACTAGTATCACTAGGGAAGCCATCTTCAGCTGCTCTGGAGCGGCTTTATCAACAGACAGAGGTGCTTGTCAACGAGATTAGCGAAGAGGGCGGCGCTGGGGCGTTTATCAATGTGCGAAGTGATTTTTTGCTTTAAAATGATTGCCAGCGATGTGACAAGAGCACCCGAATTCGTAATTTCTTGAGGGCTCATGGTGGCAGAGAATGAAACTACAACCTTTCCCCTCTAGTCTGGCGCATCTTGTCCGAACTGTGACCAAGAGACCCTGTGTTGGTGAAAGCAACATAGAATAGTCTACTCAAGGGATCAAGCGACCATGTCAACAGAAGCATTGACTTACGTAGTTATTTGGCCGCAAGAATATCAGGGCAACGTTGTAGTACTGAGTACTTGCACTATGTAGCGTAGAGTTGCGCAGGGATGTGAACGTGGTGGCTGGGTCTCAGTGACAATGCTCAGCGACTGCCGGTGTGTCTAATAATGAAAGACCAAAATTACCCGACCTCCTTGGCATGGGATGTGACTCAAAAGGGTTGTTTCAACTTTACTATGCCTGTTGGATACTGCATACAATTCTGTAAGAGGAATGGCTAAGATAGTCTTAGGTGTCGCACAGCAGAGGTGTGTACCTTAAGGTAGGTATCATGTCTTTGTAATAATACCGTACAATTTTCATGAACCTAAGGTAACCACTAATAGCCCGGTCAGGCAAGGTAAGACATAGTACCTTAATAATAACAATGGTTCACATGTTCCCTTTGTTCTCTCCGCCTTTATGCATAATCAACGACCCTGCTTTTCTTCAGTTCTTGCTGGGTATATCATCACTGTTATTATTTGCTTATAATAATCACGTAGTACCAGTAACTACACAAAAAGCATCACACCTACATATCGCCATATCTCTCTATGATATCTCTTTGCATGGTCTAATATCATCGTTCCCTCTGCCCCACCAACACCTCAGCTTCGATGAACTGGCGCTTCCGCTCCAAGTCATCGCTCCGTCAAGGGGTGCCAGCTCATTATCTATCCAGTCTAGAGATCAACTGACGAACTCCCTTGGGAAGGTCGCATTCCTTTCCTGATTTCCTCAGCCATGGAATCTCATCCCCGGCCGCATAGTCCGGTCCCTGCAGGGCAGGTTCCCTGCATTCCTACCCACTCCTCCTCGACTCCAGCTGTCCTTCGCTGTTGTTGTGGCCGTAATGACTGTGCGTTCCTCCATAATAATAATCTTGCCTTGGAGGGATTGGAGAAGGATCTTGAAACCGCTGCTCGATTGGGTCAGGTACGTTGGTGGTTTACTTTTCTCTTTCCGTTCCCTTTGTCTCCCGAAAAGAAGCTTTATACAAACGTCAGGCCTCCATCATAAGTGCCTGATATTTGGTTGTTGTGATTGCGCACATACCTCAGTTATTGTATATACGCATACTTTCGCACATTCTCCTGGTGTTTCCTTTACATTATTAAGCTTTTGACACTGGAATTCTCGTCCATATTACCTGTTCATATCGGGGATTAGGCGAAGATCCCTACAAAGCACAAGAGCATTTATTCTTACCCGTTGTGTCTACTGCTTAGTTGCTCGCCCTCCATGGCGTCTCAGGGATTGCGGTCCCCGATTCTCTCCCACTGTGTTATAGTCCGTCATGGCTGTCCAAGCAGATAAACCTGCAGCGGATCTCCCATCAATGAACCTGTCATCGCTAACCTTTGCTCTCCAGGCTCTACTCCACCGCCATGAATCGTACATGGCCGAGGCGGAGGAGGACCGCCGGCGGTTACTCGCCAACATTGAGAACCTAGAGCGTGAGAAGCGCCAGGTTGAGGCCGAGAATGCCCGCATCATCGAAGAGAACCGTGGTTTGTTGGAGCAGTTGGATGGTCTGAACAAGGCTGTCGCGCAATCGGACGCTCATGCCAAGTCGCTCGCGGCTACGCTAGAGTGTACAGAGGCCGAGCTGCGCAAAGTGACCATGTCGGCCGCCCGCGCCGCGGAACTTGAAGTCCAACTGGCCCAGATGGAGGCTGAGCAGTCGAAGCTACAGGAGACTTTACAGGTGGCCAAGGAAGATAACAAGTCAGCCGTGCAGCGATGGAAGAAGGCTGAATGTACCCTCCGAGATTTGCATGATCAAGTCGACCGAATCGAGAAAGAGGCCCGAGAGGAGCGTGAACGACACACCGAACTCATCCAGCGCATGGAGCGGAGAAGGGCAGTGGAGCGCGAGCTCGACGGTGCGGCTGGACGCTTAAAGGGCGCTGCTGCCGCGCAGGAGCTAGGTCGGAATCAAGGCAACCCTAACATCGTCTCACGCTTCGTTCGGGATATTCTCCAGGATAATGCGAATCTGCAGATGGGCATCATAGAGCTGAGGGAGATGCTCGAAAGCTCGAACCAGGAGGTGCAGAATCTGCGACATCAGATCCTGTCGCATCAGCCCTTGACTTCAACCGGTGAAGACGATGAGCGAGAGCCGCCATTGCCATCAACGACATTGGATCACGAACTAGAATCGAGAGAATCGCGCCGCGTATCGCAAGAATTCCATATTCATCATCATTACCATACCCCGTCCATCTCCGTCGGCTCCAAGAAGGACAAAAGTACCATCTTTCGTCGATCCAAGAAGAGACGGTCTCTGGGAGTCACCACAGGCATGCACTCGGCGTCGACCTCCCAGGCGTCCCGGAAATCCTCGCACCAGCACCAGTCGTCCGTCTCTTCGACCTCAACTATTTTGTCTCAGACATCTGTTTCAATTCCGCCAGCCGCGGGTTCCCGCCGTTGGTCACTGCGATCACCCGCAGCCGAATCCTCGTTAGCGAGCTCGCCACAGTCAGGGTATCGAGCGTCATCCATCTTTGACCGGGTGGAACGCGGCTTCGAATCGTCACAACCGACTAGTCCTGAAAGCACGGCCGTCTCGTCTCCGGTAATGGTCTCTCGCCACAAGAACGTTCCCTTTGATGTGCCCTTCCGGCCTCTGGATGGACTTGATGGCACAGAGAGAGTCGGTGACGATTCGATGCACATGGCATACGACTATTTTGGTGACCATACGAACTATGCAGAGCTGGACCGGATGCCGCTCCAGTCGGTGATACCCGAGGAGATGGAGGATTCCTTGTCTGCTCAGTATGCAGAGTCGGTCCCTGACCGGCCTCCCGCAATTTCTGACGATCTGTTCTCAACGCCGCACAGTCCCACCCTGCGCAGACGTCAATCCCATGACAGCCTCTTTTCAATTGCAGGCATGGACATTCATACACCCAGTCGGCGCCCTTCGCGAATCAGCGAGCATCTTCAATCCAGTTTGCCGATTCGTGCTCCTCGCCGCATCATATCGCCTAGCCCGGAGCTCTTCTCGCCTTCGCCCGTCATTTCAACCAGCACGGTCACGGCGGACCGAGAGCCACCAAAGACCTCCGAGCATTCCCCCAGAAAGTTCCTCGCTACCGTTGCAGGCCGAAACCGCGCCGCGGATACACAATCTGCTGTGTCCGCGGACAGCGGCTCGACCGAGTCCACTGTCACTCCGAACCGGAAGACTTCGCTGAGTCGTCGAGTGGGAGGCTGGGTGCGAGGTCGCTGGGGCATCGCTGCAGTCTCTGCAGACGGGAATGCTAAGCCTCAGGCCGAGTCGGATGCTTTGCCTCCAGAAAGTACCGCCTCGCCAGAACCTGCCCGTCCGTCTTCTGCCGGGGCGAGAAGGAGCAGGGCCAGCTTCGACGCTGTCCCAAATCTACGATACAGGTACCCCGGTGTCAACCAGTCCGGACCTATCATGGGCCTTCGGCCGCCCCCGCGAGCTCCTGTCTCATTGCATCCCGAGCAATTGGATGAGGGACTTTTGAGGGAGAGCTTGGCCGAGTAATTATCCTCGGAGCCCCACCAATCCTCGTTCTCTTCTGGTTTTCAGTTGTCTATCGTTTCTATACTCAGCTTTTCGATTATATTACTACATTTGAATCTCGTTATACGACCCGAATGATCCCTTCATTCTTTGCATCTAGCCACGGATCTGGAGTACCGTTCTTTTTATCACATTTTTCCTTACCTTTTTTGACGGTCTATATGATACCCCTACAGCTGCCCCTTTCTTATGTTTCGTTTGCTTCCTGGCTCTATGCTTAGCTACATGCCACAATTCAGGGCCTTACTTCAAACCGGTCTACCAGTTTGTAAATCACCTATCGATGGAGACATGCAGATTGCCGCAAGGCACAGGCCCTACTCTCATCTTAGAGGCTGGCAGTAATAGTATACATTTTCACCAGTGTAGGGATTGTATTCGTGACTGTGTCACACCAGATATCATCATTAATCATGTGAATTGTCTACCACCCAAGACGACCGCATGTCATACCACACGCCTCGATATCCGATACGTACGGATGGGAATGCTAGTCGAATGGAAGAAACCAGTTTGCGTCTCCGCAGAGGGAGACTGATACGGCATGCATTCCACCTGGAAATCGTTCGTTTCTGCGCAGAAACCTTTAGAAGGGGAACCTGCCTCAGTTGGACTTGATGAGGTACTCACCACAGGCATTTAGGAACGTCTGGAAGGTATCCTGGTTCCGGAGTGTCGCGGAGATGATGAATTCCCGGAGGTGGTAGTTTTCGAAGAGGTCGCGGAGGGTGGATAGGAGGAGGGGGACAAGGTCGACGTCGTAGATCTTTTTTAGTTAGTCAAGTCTGGTTGCACGATGTCTTGTATTCTCCGTGCCTGTACTGCGAGCCATTGAACCCACGGACCAGAGGATTATCATGATCATGTGCACTTACCAGGTCAGCACCGAGTGCAACGTCAAAGGCCAGATCACCCTTGCCTGACACTGCGGCAGTCTGTGCAGCGTCGCCCTCGCCCTTGCCCTCGCCCTCCTCCGGCTCGGACGGAGTCAAAGACAAGGGTGTCCCCCACTCCCAAATGGCAGGCTGAAAGACAGCAGGGTCGAGCTCATTCCGCCGCATACAATCGCGGATATTTTCGATGAGGGCCGGCTCGCGGTCCGTGGCGACGACGCTCTGCACGCCGAGATGTTTCGCGCAGAACATGGATAGAAAGCCCGTGCCGGCGCCGAGCTCGATGACCCGGTTCCCGCGCACGAGGGCCTGCCCGGCGGGCGTGGAGAGGAACGAGCCGAGATGCAGGGCTGCTTCCCAGGTGCGGAAGCCTGTTGTCCCTGCGGAGAGGATCAGACCGCGTGATTCGGAGGTGATGATTGTGCGGTTGCTCCTGTGTTCTTCTGACGGGGCTCCGTCTGCATTATCTGCATCTGAAGCTGGGACTGGGGCTGTGTATTTGACATAGGCCAGTTGCTGGGCTTGTTGGAGAGCTGATGGCTTTGGTTGGGTCACGAGCGTGCTCCAGCATTCCATGAGATCATCTGAGATCTCCTAGAAAAAGAGAGATGTTAGAATGCGAGCATGATTGTATGAAAGGATATGTCTACTGGTAGTCGATTTCAGAATTATTGCATACAAAGGGCTGTGTAAGCCGGGGCTACTCAACGGAACATGGTACAGGGGGTTTCATACATCCTCCTCAGGGTCTGAAATGGACTCTTCCAGTATAGACAAAATAATCTTTAGAACACGGGCCCGGTAGTTCAAGGGGGGAATCGGCCACAGAACCGCCTCGTTGAACATTCGTTCGTAGAGGGCTGACTGAGTGGCAGATTTGATCATAGTCCTGCCATCGGGGAATTCTAGCAGGTGGGGTTCGACCTGCTGAAAATATTGCGCGACCAGTTTGTCAATGGAGACGCATTTATCATTCTGACCATCACCGTCATCCTCAACGGAGGACGATGGAAGGGACATATTGCCTTTCACGATATCTTCTCATTACAAGAGGTACACTGCTTAAATAAGTATGGAGGCATACCTAATACAAAATGTATGGCTCGGTCGGGTCAGGTGCACGCTAAACCGCAACAGGCTAGCGGGTGCCCTAGCCGAGCCCACAGCTGGAACTGCACAACGAAACGGAAGCAAAATTGAATCGCATTTCGCGAAACCCGGCAACGACAGCAGCGACTTCGACAACACCCCCAAACCTCTCGTCCCTGTCGAGTTTCTGCTCCTTTTCTCGCTCGCAGATTCTCGCCGCTGGTGATTCAACTTTCTCGTCAATCCCACTCACCGCAATCATGGCCGATACTCCCGTTACCCTGCGGACTCGCAAGTTCATCCGCAACCCCCTGCTCGCCAGAAAGCAGATGGTCGTGTAAGGAGCCCTTTTCTTCCTCCCTATCACGCGCTTGAGAATTTCCAGGGAGAGGGTCCCTTCTGGTCAATATTTTTTTGAAAGTGATTTTGTGTGCTGGAAGAGAAGATTTTGAGTGTGGAATATGCGGAACGGCAAAAATTACAAAGGCAACAAATGGCGATGATAACGGAGATGATCGGTTCATTTATCACCTTTGGAATACTATGACGGGGGAAGGACCTGGAAATTCTCAACGCACAGAGCAAAGGACATTCTTTGTTGTGATGGTGATGATGAGTTTGATGATGATTCTAACATCGACTTACAGGGACGTCCTCCACCCCAACCGCGCTAATGTCTCCAAGGACGAGCTCCGCGAGAAGCTCGCCGAGCTGTACAAGGCCAACAAGGACCAGGTCTCCGTCTTCGGTTTCCGCACCCAGTACGGTGGTGGCAAGAGCACTGGCTTCGCCCTCGTCTACGACTCCCACGAGGCCCTGAAGAAGTTCGAGCCTCACTACCGCCTGGTTCGCATCGGTGCCGCTACTAAGATCGAGAAGGCCAGCAGACAGCAGCGTACGTTTGAGCCACCGCCCGCTCACCCCCTCGAGATTGAATTAGACATGCATACATGTCTTTCATATCTCTGGGGGTTACTCAGTCTAGCATTGCTAATCTCTCTTCCCGATTTATAGGCAAGCAACGGAAGAACCGTTCCAAGAAGTTCCGTGGTACCGCCAAGACCAAGGGACCCAAGAAGAGCAAGGACTAAATGCATTCGGCTTGATCCTGGTGAAAGGAGTTGGAGGTGGACTCGGATATGGGGGCGGACGACGCGGCCAGGGGCTGACCCTGCTGGATGTGATAATAGCGGTGGTTTCGGTGGCGCATACTGTTACGCCCTTTATCATGACCATGACGATACAGACAGGGAAAATTCGAGATTTGGGGTAATTCTCTGGGATGAAAATTCATTTTCCTTTTTTCTTTTTCTCTCTCTTTCCTCCTTCCTCTCTCTATCGCCTCTGGTTTCCTGAACCAGAACAGGCATCCTTCAATCATCTCTCTTACCAGCAGCTCCTACCGCAAGTCACTCAATTCAGAAGCCTCCAACATCGGGACTCGGTCGATGTACTATTTAAAAAAGCAACAAAAGATCTGCTCCGGTTATTCCTTGTCTCTGTTTTTGGTCTGCTTTTGGACGCTGGTAGATACTGGCTCGGCCGTAGGCTACTGCTGTTTCGCAAGAAATGCGTATTTGTCTCATGTTTCGTAGCTACTAGGGTTTAGCGCAATACTCAACGGCCGGTTACGTTTGGTCCTCGAACAAACCGACTTTTGGAATCATATACAACGTTACAACCCTGTGGTAATGATTGCAATCATCTCTTCTGTTACATATCATTCTTGCTTCAGCTACTGGTATGCGAAGTCGATCAACCAGACTAACATACATAGACTGGCGTGATGGATATGACATGTCTTTATACGACAAACAACATATTTTGGTGCTCAAACGTAGGCAATTATTGTCATTCCCAGCGGAGATCAGGCAGTCTAGCCACAGGCACTCTTTGTGCTACTCAGTCCGATTATAGATGGAATATGACAAATTATAACAGGTAAAAGGACATCTCAAAAGAGAGCAAAGCAAACTGCCGCCACATTGTGATCGAAAGAAGAGGAGAAAGAAAGGAATCTGCCACCCAGGCCGCTAGTTCCCTAACAAACATCAGACGCATGAAAAGAAGGAAGGTAGACACGAAAATCGCCCACCCTGGACCAATACTCTACAACCTCCAATATTAGTGTAACATCTCGATCTGTCCAAGTGCAGAAAAGCACAGTCAGGCGCAGGCAGCAAGGTTCGACAGATACTAGGATCGCCGCCAAATGGGCGAGAAGAAAAGATGTGAGAAATACAAATGAAATCAAGAAAATGAGAAGATCGCAAACCAGCCATCAGAGTCGAGAAGCAGAGACCAGCCTTTTCTGCGCCAGACTTCCCTATCCCAACGGGTCCCTTATTGGTTTGCAAATTAGAGACGAGGCCTACTTAGAATCCGCCCGGGTTACTCAAAGCTGAGACGGATGTTCGCTGCAGCTCGGCCGATGCCCGATATTCCGGTAGGACATCGGTCGCAAGGAGATCGAATGGTATGGTGCTATGAGTATCGGCATGCCTCGGGCGCGTGTAGGGAAGACCGTTCATCAGGGTGGCCGTGGATCCAGTATCGCCCGTCTCAGACCGGTTCTTGCTCTTTTCACTGCTGCTATATCCGTAGATATCTGAGCCACAGCCCATCATAGATATGAAACGTCCGTTGTCCCGGGAAAATGATCTTGTTGATCGGCCTTCGGTGGCCGCTCGGAAGTCATCGGCTGAATCAAGCGTCTCGAACGCATTGAGTGCTGTACCAGTAGAGGGACCAAGGTGTGAGGGCGTTCCGACCGACGTTATGGGCAGATAATCGAACATTATGTCCGGAGCACTTGACTGACTCCCCTTCCTTGTCTGGTTCAGGGAGTTACCACCAAAGTTCCCGTTCAAGCCAAGTTGCATGCTCGGAAGGCCACTACTCGAGATGGAGGCTCTTGCGGCTAGATGATGTCCATATCTATATTCCGGGGATAACAGCAATCCTGACATGGCTTCAGGAGTCGCGCTTGGAGAAGACATACCCATCTGGAGCTGGCTGCGGCCGGATACTTTTGGTAATGTCCGAGCGGCGCCTTGTCCATCCGACGGCGTGCATGTCATTGGAACGTCAGTCGATTGAGTCCCTTGAGCTGAGAACAAGAAGGGATATGAGGATGGGGTAAATGTATTCTCTGCATCTTGGGTAGGAAATGCTGCTCCGCTCTGGGCGTTATTCACCTGGACGTTAGAATTCCATGCCTTGGTGTTCCATGCAAGGCCGCAATAGTCAGGCAGGATACCTTGATGCGAGCTGGGGAACATGTATGATGACTGAGGATTGTATGCAGTCGGCTCATTCTCGTAGTTGGTCGTATGATCAAGACTGAAAGGCTGTCGACTAGGTGGATGCTGAGAGTTGAAGGTCCCTAGATCGTAACCAGATGACCGCGAGAAGGGCCCAAGCCGCACACCGAGGGTGTTCGTTGGTACTAGTCCAGAGTTTTGGACCATATGTGCATAAACTCCTAGTCTCTGGGGGGAAGAAACCGTAGCATTTAGCGCAGACGGCCACCCGGAATCTTTCGTTTGGAGCATTGATGAATTGACCTTGCAAATATCAGCTCGTCAACCTCAGTGAGAACGTATCCCTCGGGGGGGGGGGGGGGGGCTAGTGTCATCTTACCCTTAAGAACTGGCAATTATGATTGCCAGAGGCCCGGCAGTTCGAACATCCTTGTCCGTCACCAATATCCCCGCTGCATTTGATCTTCCTTTTGCGACATCGATTGCACTGCGAGTGTCAGGAAATGATTTCCTCTTTCTGTTCAAAGGCTACCGAAACTATACACTACTTACTGCGACTTGGGTACGGCGCCTGGTAGAGTTCMGACTTCTGCCGTTGATCTCTAGAGCAGGACTCACGGAACTTGTGCCTCTCTCCACCATCTCCTGTTGGCCATCGGGTCCAGTTGATGGTGATATTGAATGAGCCTCATGTCTGGATTGCTGATCAAGACCAACCTCATCCCCAGAGGGGTAGTAAGAATGGGCCATGACTTCGCCGATTAGTGTTGGATTGTTCCTGAGTCTGAGACTCACACATTCAAGTCAAGACAGGTCCGAGGGGGTTCAGGACGGCTCCTCTCATAAGTTAGCTGGGAACTTGGAGGAGGTCTATGAATTAGGGATGATTGTGTCCAGCATGTTCCGTCTGCCTCAGGTAGAGACTGGAAAAGTGACCGGGGAAAGATGAGAGGGGGGGTTGCCCTTCAATCGGAATCAAGGTCTGATTTAAGTCAATGTGTGGGCCATAATTATGAATGTCTGGGGTTTCCTTTTTCCTTTTTCTTTTTTTCTGAACAAAGGAAATTATCTTGGGCTCTTATTCCCACACCTTCTGACTGGACCATTCGAAGGGGAATCATAGATCAGTCATAAGCTTACCTCAAGTGTTCTCAGTGACTAGGCCAGGAGGATGGTCAGTTTGATACCTGAATCTTCAGTCTTTTGTTGTACCAGGAGAGCATATGCATTATTCCGTGTCGCATTTAGGTCCAACGACAAGTAGATTGGACTCCCCAGAAGCACGCTGATAGAAGGCCAGACAGACAGAATCAAAGGCGTTTTAGAGGTTCTGTTTCACAGAGTAACGTTGCACGAGACGAACATGACCTGATGGTAACCACAGAAGGGCCTAGTACTCTGGGCTGGAGGACTTTGAGCTCTCTGCGCAAGATCCCCAATCAATTGCCACCAAAAAGGAGCTCCACCGTAGTCTTCTCCTCCAGGAGCCTTGTCTCAGGAAGACTGTACTTCCTCTCTCCAAGCGCATATAAAGTGATACGCCAAATCAAGAGAGCGGACAGCCGCGGATTACGATGGCATGAACTCCGAAGAGTAGTATCTATCTAGTCTCCCGAGGTGGAAGAAAGAATAAAGAAGCATGTTTGCCCGTTGAAATAGTTGCTGGTTGGAAAGCCTATTGGTCAGGCTTTGCCAGTCTTTAGCATCAAACAAACATATTCTAGGAGGTCAAGACTCTGCCAGTACTTTTGACATCAGCCCCTAATCTGAGTCAAGTGTCAAGAATGGCTGCAGTCGCGAGCATTCACTTGAACACATATGGATGTGTTTGCGGATGTGGAAACGGTTGCCTTACGGACTCGCGCTACACGCAAACGCATAGTCCTAAGGAGCTCAGTTTGATGTCTCGGATAGCTCGATTCCTAGACACCCAGCTTGGTTCGGACCAATGCTTAGGCTTGCATCGACGTGATCGAGCCGCACAAGGCTAATAGGAGCTCAAGACCATGACTGAATGAATCAAGAAGCGAGACTTGGCAGGAATGGCAGACTTGGCATGATTTCCAAGTCAGTGGCGCTGTATGATTACCTAGGAGTGGCTGAGTAGTCCCCTTATGTCTGCAAGTGCTTCTCGAACACTGGACAGGTCGAAAACAAGAAGCGGAGTCTAAGGAAACAAGAAAGAGGGGACAGGGTTCTTAGACCACCAGAGAATCCAGAACACAATAACAAATCACAAAATGATTATGCAAAACTGGGCTTCTGTCAAACAAGAAAATAGCAGGGGCGTGGGGCCAGGGACAGTTTAGTATGCACGAAGTTCAGGGGTTCATGGAAGACAGTATCTTCTCAGACTGCCACAGCCTGCTAATGCCTGGCTGGCAACCCACACGAACAGAGTTTTGCACTGCAATCCATATCCTAACTGGAAAGGTCTCAATCTGAGATCCATGTTGGCATAGCCAAAGTCCTAATAGACTACTCCTCAAAGAAGCCAATAGTCTTGATTGCCATTTTTGGATTCGGCCTCCAACAACAGAATGTTTGCCCTGTCTTGCCTTATTTAGTGTTTGCTTTCGTTCAATCCAATTGACAGAACAGAACCATGCTCAAACATGTGTCCAACCTGGACTTGCCGACGCTGCACCGGCAGTTCATTCGCCAATGCGACGTGGTCGGGTAAAGTGACTTCATTTCCGGACGTTAGAATTAGAATCAAAAGGGGAATGCGAAAAGCTTGTGCATTGTCTCCTGTAGAAAATCAGGTCAAAATTGACCGCTGTTGGGATTAGGACCAGCCACAGGACAAGAGAAGTTAGTGAAACTTCTCCATGAAACTTCTCCATAGCTCCTTGTCCGCTCTCAAAAATTAGTCACAGCCTGTCCAAAAGTAGGAGTAGGTCCAACAACATCCACGTGCGTTTTTGAAAACGAGCATCCTGCCATTGCTGCTTTTCCGTTTTCAAGGAGCGACTCGTTGACGCTGTAGGATCTAGTACTGCAGGACATCCCGTTGTCATTCCTTCTTTTTCAACGCCTCTGCTGTGAAACTCGCACGGCAAAGAGGCAGAGCAGAGTGATACATCAGCATTGTCTTTGGAGATGGTAACCTGAAGAATAATGGCAATTCCATCATAGGACTAGATTGTCATTAGATTTCGTGTCAATAAATAATCCCAGTTGGAGCCAAACGACTGCGTCTCCAAGCCATCTGGATTGACAGGACTGAATTAGTTGCAGCAGCAAACAGTGACTGACTCTGACCCGCAAGTTGATTTGAATACCCGAGGACTTTCCCATCCAGCGGGGAACCCCCGACGATATGCTGCCGATTCAGATAGGCAACGGGTTACACAAGAAGGCACCGGATGAGGCCTCCGAAGGTGCAAGAACCTCGAAACGGTCGATTCTCATTGACGGGGAGTGAGGATTCGTTTCCAAGGCGCGTATGACAGTCAAAGCCTCCATCGACGTCTCATCGATCGTGAAGAACTAGGATTCGCTGCAATTATCGCAAAGGCGACAAGGTCCCATCCCCGGGTAATAGACTAATGTGTGGTGTGTGGTGTGTGGTAGATGGATTACAGTAGCTTGAGGGATCGACGCAGGTATGTGGTGTGGATTTACTTTCTTCGGGGGCGGGTCGTCCGCGAAAGTTGCACCTCACCTTAGTTTCACACGCGCCTTGCAAATCACCTCCAACTCGTCACTCATTCTACCTACCTGTACTATTTTCAGTCCCTCTCGCACACCGACTCTGATACTTGGGCCTTTAACTTATTTATTTGCCCCAGCTATCAACCATATCCTTGTCAGTTCTATCTGGTTTTCGTACGAATCTTCTACACCGTTTCCGTTTCCAGCTACCTGCCGAGCGAGCGCAGCGTCGATCTTTGCGACATCGACTGCAGCCGCTAGTAGAACATCATGAGCGTACTTTTGGAGACCTCTCTTGGCGATATTGTCATTGACCTTCTGGTTGATGAGTCTCCTAAGGCATGTGAAAAGTAGGTCGTCCCAACACCCCCATTCTTTGTTTGTGGTGATTTCCTTGGTCTGCGCCTGTTGTTACAATGTCGAGTGGCTGAACTAGAAACTAAGCAATCCATTTTCTGCCGATATAGCTTCCTGAAGCTATGCAAAGTCAAATATTACAATTTCTCGCCAGTTCATAGCGTTCAGAAAAATTTCACCTTCCAGACTGGTGATCCCCTCGGTCCCGATTCCCCGGAAAGCGATGGCGGGTCGTCGATATGGGGCTTGATGGAAGGCCCCGTCAAGAGAACATTTCCGCTGAAGCTGTCCCCAAACCTGAAGCACACCGAGCGCGGAACCGTCAGTATGGCAACAGTACCTTCCTCGCACGATCCCGACGAGCGCCTCGCTGCAAGTCAATTCATCGTCACGCTTGGGGACAACCTCGACTATCTGGATGGGAAAGCAGCGATCTTCGGGAAAGTTGTGGAGGGCTTCGATGTGCTTGAAAAGATCAACGGCGCCTTTATTGACGACCGAGGTCGCCCGCTGAAAGATATCCGTATCCGCCATACAGTCATCCTCGATGACCCTTACGATGACCCTCCTGGCTTAGTGGTGMCAGCTGAAAGTCCTTTGCCTTCAAAAGCACAACTAGCGACTGTAAGGATTGCTGATGATGAGGATCTTGATGACAACATGGATGAGGAGGCGATGGAAAAGCTGCGGCGAGAGCGCGAGGCAAGAGCGCAAGCATTGACGCTGGAAATGGTTGGTGATCTTCCATTCGCAGAGGTCAAGCCTCCCGAGAATGTGCTCTTTGTTTGCAAGCTGAATCCTGTTACTCAAGGTATTTGTCTTTCCCACAATTTTGTAGAATGGGTTGCCGCTAACTGTGAGTTCAGATGAGGATCTTCAACTGATCTTCAGTCGGTTCGGGCCGATTCTGTCCTGCGAAGTCATCAGAGATAAACGAACCGGTGACAGTCTACAGTATGCTTTTATCGAGTTCGAAAATCAGAAGGATTGCGAACAGGCTTACTTCAAGATGCAAGGAGTTCTGATCGACGATCATCGTATACATGTTGATTTTTCGCAGAGTGTGAGTCTGATTACGAGCACTTCTCTTTGAACAGTAGTCTCTAATAAGGACATTACAGGTATCAAAACTGTCAGAAAGCTGGCGAAATGCTACCATATCTAAACGCAGCCAAAGAGGCGGCTTCGGTGGC